CTGGGCACGACATCGACAGAACACTGGTAGGCTCTCCAATTGGAGATGTTCGAGGATCCGATGGAAGTCCCCGAGCTGACATCAAAAAACCAGTCACTGAGGGCGCCTCACACTCCAAGGCTACTAGGTCACCTTGTGTTGCTGATCTAGGTTCCCAGACTACTTATGTGACAAATGAGGAGTTACAAACCTTCGCCACAAAGGTATTCAAGAGGATGGATGAGTTGAAAAGCTTATTCTCCTCCCAACCGGTGACAGAGGCTCTCGCACCGCTCACAGAGGCTCTGAAGGAGTTGACTTCCACAACTTCTGAGCTCAAGGCAACCGTTTCAGCCCTTCAGAGCTCTGTCCTCAACAAAGCTGATCTAGCAGAAGCTTTCAACGCCTTGTCACTCAACCCTTCTTTAATCCAAAAGCTCAAGACAGAACTATCAGAGGTTGCCGCCCATTTCGCTACAGACTTTATTTCCGCCGGCTACACAGATTATTCTACCTTCAAGGACGAGATCAAAGGGATGTTCTCCTCTGCGGTCACTTATGGCATTGACTTTAAATCCTCCAGGGCTAATATTAATCATCTAGCCACTCGCAGAGAGCTAGACGCCATGGTTGAGGCCCTTGGAGAGATCGTGCAGAAATACACTGACCAACTCCTCAAGGAAGCCCGAGTAAGCAACGAAGCTATGAGAGACTGCATGAAGAAACTCGTCAAAGAAAGTGATAACTTCATAAATGAGATCTATCGCTGCATCTCTAAGATGAAATGGGCCACAGAGATGGATATCAACATTGCTTCTGTGATTGCTGAGGAGGTCATTTAGAAGATGGAGAGGGCGGCATCCAAAGTTTTAAAGCGATTAAAGAAGGCTCCCCTTACTACTTACAAGGCAGAAGCCACTAAAATCCATGACGATCAAGGAGGTGATGACCATGATCGTCATGAGGGGGAGAAGAAGAAAGAGGAACCAAAGAAGACAACCTCTGCCAAACCACTAAAGATAGTGGACTCTGCTGCTGCCCTGTTCTCTAAAGACAAATCTCCAGAGCCTAAGGGGAAAGGCAAGGGTAAAGCAGTAGAGGAGTCGCCACAAAAGGGGTCAAGCTCTGAGACGCCAGAGGAGATAAATGAAGAAGAGTATGATGACCCGGATCTCATTCAAGCTTTAAAGGCGTCTTTGGCAGAGGCACAGGCAAGAAAGGGCAAAGCCCCTATCCCCAGAGCTGGAGAAGGCTCTTCCTCTAAAATGGCGAAGGAGGAAACGTCCACGGGTACGTTTGACGCTCTGGTAAGAACTGTCAAGCCAATCCTACCAGAGGGGTCTACCCAGAGGCCGATACTAGAAGAAGAAGAAACCAGAATGCTATAATCTGCCACAGTGGGGAGGGTTTCTGAGATACTTGAATCCATGAGCAAGATTCCTGCACAGAAAATGCACACAGAGCCCGTAACCACTGTGGAGGAGATTATGCGGTGGCGTTACTCTGCTGTAGACACAGAGCCCCCTTACGATCCAGAGCTTACAGGAATGCCCTCTGCCGCTGCAAAGTTCCACTTCTCAAAACTCACAAGGCCACGCGAGCAGGTCTTCTCAGAGCATGTGATAACTTCTCTTGAAACCATATCTCCGAGGACTATGCTGAAGAAGA